TTTTTATTAGTATTTATTTATGGCGTTGTTGTTATTTTATTAACATTAGGTCCGCTTTGTAATAAACTGCCAGCAGAGAAATAACTAGCGCCACTCAATAGTAACTAAGACTAAAAATTATCGGTCGGTACGCTAGAATGTGACTTTTTTTTTACAATGTCTCTCAATTTCGTCTGGGTGTACATGAAAAGTTTGTAAAAAAAAGGAGGGGGTAAAACTTCACGGCCTAGGCCGTGAGAAAAAGACGGTATAGTAGAGCCTCTAGAAAAGAGTCCCTTTACGGACGCCACTCAGCGCTCAGAAGTTGAACTTCTGGAGCGAGTATAACAAAAAGGTTTTTTTTAGTTGTAATTGATCATATCATAAAAAAATCAAATCTTAAAACTCGAAAAATTCCTTTGGCTTTTACAAATGTAAATTTTCATGAGAAAAATTACCTTTCATTTAATTAATTACTAGTTAGGCTTATTAATAAAATGTTAGGCTTATTAATTAAAAGTTAGGCTTAAGCATTATGTCAATCAGTGTTAATTATAAATTATTACTAATAGGTTTGAGCAGTTCTACTCTAAATAAGTCCAACATTTTCTGTCTTTAAAAAAAAGTAAGTTTATTCAATTAAGTTTTTGTTTGATATCACATAATTATAAATACTTTTAGGATCTACTGAAAGAATCGCAGCTATTGAAAAGTTACGTCTTAAGGGAACGCAGCTCTTCAATTTAAATAATGATTTTAACCACGGTAGATTACTCGTTACTCGACAACCACAAAAAACTTCGTTAGCTAACGTACATGACTTCGAACCATGCCATAAATGTGGGCGATGGTTACAGTATATCAATCGCCATAAATGTCCATATGGTAAAGAATCTAATGGAGATAGATCAGATCTTATAAAGTCGAAAATTTTAATATGGGTCAAATTTGTAATAATGCAACATCATTAACAAGAAAAATACTTGCAATTAATAATGACGACAGTATTTCAGAAGCAGTAAGACAAGATCCGTTGCTGATTACCTTTGTCAATGAACTTTCTCAAAAATATACAAACCCACATCAACACTCGATGATTCGTTCACAAGTGAGAATGCTGGGAAGTATTTTACTCAAGTTAAAAGAATACAATAAACATTGTTTTAAAAGTAGTCGAATTGACCAAAAGTGTAATCCAATTAACGTAAATACTTTTGCTGATATTCTTGACCCAAGGATGTATGACAATTTGATTATAGCTATCCAAAGTATTGTTGGTGCCGATGCTGAAAGTAATGAGTGCAAATCACCATCAACTGCGACAACGGCGGGTACTTGGGTAACTAAGATTGCTAAGTTGTATGAGAAGGAGCTAATCAAACAACGAGAATATAAAAAAGCGAAGGATGTAGAATACTTTCTGAAAATTCATGCAGTTGAATTTCCGATTAAAGTTAACAGTATCCGTCCTGTTGGACCATTGTACTCAGCCCTCCTAGGTCAATTACTTTATGTCGCCGAGGAATTGGCCAGGCCTGTCTGCTTCAGAAAGTGGAGCAGCCGTCCCACGCCAATCTCCCGCACATCGATCGACTCTCCATTGCGGACTCCTAGTATGTTCTCTCGAACTGTTTCTAGTTCCTCGCAATGGAGGATTAGGTGTCGAGGAGTTTCCTCCTCTAATCGACATCTGGGGCATACAGAACTCTCTGAGATGCCCATATGCTTTAGATGTCTGCCAGTTGTCCAATGTCCTGTGATGAACCCGACAGTTAGCCTTAGCGTTTTCTTGTCGAGCCCTATCAAGGACAGGCCTAGTGTCCTAGAGGGTCCTTTTATTAGTGCCCTCGTATGCAGCATGCCTTTTGCTTCAGCCCACACTTCTTGGAACTTATTGTCAGCCCATTGAGAAGTGTGTTGCTTAATGAGGCTGAAAGGCGCTGCTATGTTGACCACTGGCTCAGAATCCCTCTTGCGGGCTCCTGCCTTCGCCAGTTCATTCGCTCTGTCGTTTCCTGCGTTCCCGCTATGACCCGGTATCCATAGGAGTTTGACTCTGTTATATATCGCCAGTTCGTCCAGCGACTTCATGCAGCTACGCACCAGCCTCGAGGACACATCTATTTGTTCTAGTGCTCTGAGCGCAGCGCAACTATCGCTACAGATGTAGATGTGCTTGTTTCTGTGATTGAGCTTTTTGATGTGCTCTACACAGGCCCAAATCGCATATACCTCTGTCTGAAAAATCGATGCAGTGTCCCCTAATTGCAGAGAAATTTCTGTTTTTGGTCCACTACTGTAGATACCAGCCCCTGCCCCTCTTTCCATTTTGGAGCCGTCCGTATACCAGACTAGCCCCGCTGGGGACAGGATGCTCTTGCTTTCTTCTTCCCATTCCTGCCTGCTTGGGATGAAGACTCTGTAGTGATGATTGAAGTGGTAACTACGAGGGCTCATGTCTCCTCCCTGGGCTAGGAACCCATCGAGTCCCCTATCCCTTAGGATGGATGCATGTCCCGTCTTAGTCCTTGTCCAGTATCCGTTAAAATGCAGTCTCATTGCTGTTTTCATAGCAAGAGCTTCTGCTGTGATGTGTGGGGGCTCCAGGTTCAGGAGTGCCCCCATTGCCAGGGTAGCTGTGGTTCTTAGAGCCCCAGTTATCCCTAGCAAAGAAAGTCTATAGACCTTAAATAGTGTCTTGATGTTGATGTTCTTCTTAAGGGAAGGCCACCACACCACAGAGGCAAAGGTGAGCTGTGGTACCAAAATTGCAGTGTATATCCACTTGATCAATTTCGGTCTCAGACCCCATATTATGCCAAATATTTAAAGTTAAATTTTATGTTTTTAACTCGTTTATCGTCAGCTATTTATTCGAATAAAGATTTGGCAACGTCGCGTCAACAGCTGAGAAAAAAGAAAAGGATAGAAATATAGTTACAGAGAGAGAAATATTTAACTTACACACTCATGCACGTCTCTGTAGTGGGTATAATCATACGCGCTGTTGCCAAATCTGTTTATTTAATCCGGCAAGTAATAAATACGGAAGTCATTTATTACTTTATTTTACGTATACGAAAAAATCATTAATTATTAAATTGTTCAAATTATTTTAAATTAAGATAAAGAATTTTGACGAATATTGGGAAGACTGAAAGTAAAAAAAAAAATTGAAACATTATTTTTACTAATAAGTTACGCTCGAATCTTCTTCACGATAGTATTTTTTTGAATAAAATACGGAATTTTTTATATTAGAATTTTAGATTTAAGTTTTTAATAAAATTGCTGCTTGTAAAAACTAATGACAGTAAGTATAAAATTTTCAGTGGTAATCAACGACGAAGGAAACGAGCTAGCAAATCAAAGCATAGATATCGCATTGACGGATATCAGAGCTAAAGACCCGACTGTCCTAGGAAACGTGATTGTCGTCCAACTGAATGAATCTGATCCAAAAGAAGCTTTGGAACAAGTTTGCAGCGTCTGGGATTCAGCAGTCAAAAACGGAACTTCAGGAGTTCCAGATTTGGTTCTTGACACAACACGCAGTTACTTTAGCACAAAAACAGTCAATGTATTCGCAGCTTTCCTTGGAATTCCAAAAATTTCAGCCCGATATGGTCAGCGGAGTGATGTCAAACACTGGAAAGACTTGACAGTGAACCAGACGAACTACCTAGTCCAAATAATGCCTCCGGTTAATCTTATCCCCAAAGCTTTCAGGCAATTAGATTGTGAAAAAAACGTATCTAATGTCGCAATTATTTTTGATGACACTTATGTCACGGATAGGATGTACAAGGGTCTCTTGCAGAATATTTCTTCACGGCATATCGTTGTTCAGGCCGAAGCCGACAATTCAGATATCGAACAGCAGCTGGACCGCATACGGGATCTTGATGTTGTTAATTACTTTGTACTCGGTAATGAAAGCACGCTGAACAATTATTTAGATGTTGCGGATGATAAAAACTTAACTGGGTGCAGATACGGTAAGAATTATTTGTTTTAATTATGATTTTAAGTAATTTTTATTTTTGTAGAAAAACAAATATAATTAATAACTATAAGCACAGAAAATATTTCGTTCGATTATCAGGAAGATTAATATTAAATTTATCAAATTAAAATTTATGGATAAAAATAATTTAATGAATTGAGTATTTTTATAAACTTCTCCGCCCAATAAACTGTTGATCGCTTTGGTTTATGAGTAAGAGTGTGAGTACTTGAAACTCTGAAAAGTTTCAAACTATTCAATATTCAATTCCATTAAAACTTGCACACCTCTATTGATTAATTTATTTTCAATAAATAAGATTTAGTATTCAAGTTTGTTTATTAAATATAGTTATTTTTCAATAATAAATTTTAAGTAATGATGCCTTGTCTTCCCAGGCAGGATTAGGAAAATTATGACCAGGCAGATTTATTTACCCTGGCGGATTCGGGGTCACAGTAAAATGATCGTGAAACGACGGTGAATGTACCGTGAATTTACAGTGTCGACAAATGATCATCGAATGACCGTCACTTGACTATCGAACGGCCGTCATTTGACAGTGAACGACGAGTATCATTGTGAAAGTTTTTCACTGTTACTTTATGATTTTTATTCTGTATAGTTATCATACTTTACTCTTCGAAAAACCAAATTTTTACTTGACTTCTCCGATTTTTTACCTAAGTAAAAACGACCGTGAAACGAGCGTATAATGTCGGTAAGTCAGGAAAGTTTTACTAGTCAACGAAGAAAAATTGCTGACAATATTTTATTTTATTTTATTTCCATAAAAATACTCAAACCATAAATTATAAATTATGATCGCTATATATTTTTATATTATTATGTAATATTTTATAGTTGCCATCTGACCTGTGCCTTGGCATTAATAAATCTAAATAATC